TCGACAAATATTTAAAAAAAAAAAAAAAACCGAACCCCAACATGAAGAAGAAGCATGGAGAAGAAAACCAAAACCAAGCAGCCCCATAAGGCCTCCGCTGCAACAGGAACAAACCATAATTTCCACTCATCCTAAGGTGTCGTGCTTAACCCTGCATAACCGCCCTGCCACCCACGCCGTGTGTGAGAATAGGTAGTTGTGATGGACTTGTTTTACTCTGTTTTTTGTGCCTGTTGTAGGAGTGTAGCTTTCTGTGGGATTTTTTGATCTTGTTTTTTATTTGGATTTTGATTTTCAGGTCACCGCAGAGGCTCGAACCAGGTACCGGCCAGGACCGGACTAAGGACTGTGAGTCCCGTGCACTTTTTTGGGCCAGCAGACGGATGGGCCCGGTACCCCCAGATTAGCGTTGTACCGATGGGGACTTGGATCCTGGAACTTTTGACGGATCGGTCAGCCTACCTCTTTTGAGGGCGAAGGACCGTGTAGTTTTTGGTGACGTGACCTATATATACGTGGATGTAGATTAGTTCGCTCTCTTTGGTCCCGCTATTGACTCCGTCCGTGACGACGGCAGATTGCCAATGCGGGTTTTGGAATGTGGTACTGTGGCGGAAATCTGGGTTTGAAGGTTGGCAAAGTGGAGCCAAGAGTACTTGTTTGCGTCTATGTGTCATTCTGTGACTATGAGTGAGCGGCTTTGTGTGTTCTACACTTAGTCTGTCACCATACCCATTGTCAACTCTGTTATTGCGCACGTGAACTTGCCTGGGGAGGATTACCGGTTTGGAGCTAAGCTGTGATTAATTTGTGTTTCGTACTTCTCCAAGATGTCGACCTCTGGGCGACGTAACGAAGACCGAGACAAGTACGATCGAAGACGTGAAGACGAACGTGGGAGTCGAGGACGTCGAGCTTACCGACCAGTGGTCTGTTACAACTGTGACGAAGAAGGACATTACGCCAATCAATGCCCACAGCGAGACCGGCGGGTGAGTCGACCGTCTACCTCGACGGACTCGAGACGGTCGCGGTCACCGAGACATGATTTCGGGCGACGACCGCCCCCACAGGGCGATTCAGAGCTGAGGGTGCGGGTCACTGAGCTATCGAAAGGTGTGGCGATGATTAAGGAGCACTTCGATGAGGCACGTGCGAGGAAGGAGGAGAAAGCGCGTAGGAAATGGGAGAAGGAACAACTGAAGGAGGAAGCTAAGCGAAGAGAGGAGGAGGAAGAACGGCAGAAAGCCGAGGAAGCTGCCAGACGGGAAGCTAAGAGGAAGAAGAGAGAGGAGAAGGCTAGGAAGGAGGCCATAACCAGGGCAGAAATAAAGAAGGACGTCACTCTACATGCAGCGAAGATGATAGGTGAAATGAAGGATGATTGGCTTCACGAATGGAAGACGTCGTTACTTCCAGTGATTACCAGAGGAGCGAAAGACGTGAAGGGTAAGAAGGTTGTGGAGTTCGTCTCCGACGATGATGGAGGATCGGATTACAATTCGGAGGAGAGTGAGACAAGTGTGACACAGGAACTCTAACGCACGTGCGGAGGGCACGTGCGGAGATGGTAAGAGAGAGAGAGAGTGAGAGAGGAGATGGACACACACAGGAAGCAGCAGCTGAGTGAAGGTCCAGTCCGGCCAACGAATGAACGAACATCAGAATGAATGAACCTCCCGCCCTGGGCCTAGGCCGAAGTGATATACCGGCCTAGGTCCAGGTACGGAACAAACTGGTACCGGACCAGGGTCAGGCCGGTGGCCTGAAACTGGTCCGGCCTCACTGCCGGGCCGTAGGGGTACCGCTCCACGATCCTCGGACCTGTGAATGGATCAAGCGATACATCAAACACRCTATCCGCTGAAATAGCGGAAACCCAAAAGGAACGACAAAAGAAACAATCCTAGATGCGGAGCAGGCTCCATGCAGGAAAAGGTATGCAATGCAGACTAAGCCTCAAGCCTAATCTATACAACAATGTCTGGTCTGGGTCGACCCAAAAAGCACGAAGATGTCTGACCTGTGTCGGCCAAGAAAGAGGAAAATGTCTGACTTGTGTCGGCCAAGAAAGTGAAAAATGTCTGACCTGTGTCGGCCAAGAAAGAGAAAAATGTCTCATGAGCCAAATAGGCTGAATATAAATCAACACCAGGGCCCTAAGGGCCAAAGAATAACTAAGCCAATGTCCTAAGTCGAAAACGAATGTGGCACAGTCTCACGTGCCCTGTACACAATGCACAATACCTGAACAAAAGAGAAGGGAACTCAGTCGCATGGCAGAAGTAGGAACGGGTGGGAAGGCGGCAGCTACAGCTCTCAGAGTAAACTCCAAGGGGGCACCCACACAACCAGGTAAGAGGTCATCAGGCTCAGAGGGGGAGTAACAGCACGACACCGGGCTCAATGGAAACCATCAAACGGGTACCGCCAGCTGAGAGGGGGGGAAGGGCACTCACACAAGGGAGCACGCATAAGGTGAGCCTGGGAGGAAAGAGATGGCCATGCCGGCATAGACATGTGGCCAAAAACCGCGAGCAAAGAAAACGTACACTCCAGAGGAGGACACGCAGCATAAGGTAAGGCAGAAGGGCGGCAAGCGGACACACCCACATAGACAGGGAAAATAGGGGTCATCATGCGACTGAAGGGTAAGCTAGAGGGTGGTGGATAGGTGGGAATGATGGGAACTATGTATTTGAAAAGTGAAGTAGTCCACTGATGAGTCTCCAGACTGAAGTCGAACCGAAGTAGCCTGGATGAAGTAAGAGTACTGCAAGAATCGAGTAGAAGTCCGGAACACAGCGACAGGTACTCTGGTACTGAGGAGAAGCATTGAGGTCGAAAGTCAAATGTAGAAGCCGAAGTAGAGGCCGAATGTGGAAGCCGAATGTAGAAGCTGAATGTAGAAGCCGAATGCAGAAGTTGAAACCGGGAGCTGCTGCATAAGTGTCCAGGAATGGTAAAAGATAGAGAGCGTATGGGGGATATAGATCAGTCACGAAAACGAGAAGGAAGTCGATGGGTATGCTGAGGGTGAGAGGAATGAACTGCAACAACAGGCGGGACCACAGCCACAGGGGAAGGAGGACCTGAGGCGGGTACCGGGGGAGCAGGCGGACCCATCGATGGAGGAGGGGGAATGTTAGTGGTCGCAG